GAGGAGCAGGAAGGCTGACGTTTCAGGCCTAGACCCTTCTTCAGAAAAGAAGGGTCTAGGCCCGAAACGTCAAGAAGGGTCTAGGCCCGAAACGTCAGCCTTCCTCCTCCTCTGATGCTGCTTGGCCTGCTGTGTTCATCCAGCTCTACACCTTTTTATCTCAGATTCTCCAGCATCTGCAGTTCCTGCTATCTCTTTATCCTGAGAGTGTTAAGAATAGGGAACTCACTCTCACTGGGGGAGGTTGACGCGAATAGCACAGACACGCTAAGGGATGGCTAACCAGTCTATCAGTGTGAGGATAATAGGTTTAAATGAGGAAAGGTGGGAAAATAAACATCAGCATGGACTGGTTTGGCCGAATGGCCTCTTTCTGTACCTGTGACAATGTTTTGAGGGAGTTTGGAGGAGAGAGGCAGGAAACAGGTCATTGGGTGAGAAACGGTAAAGGAGACAGAGATCTATTGGAATCACTAAGACACTGTGCCATGGTGCAGACGCCCCTGTGCACATGAATAGGTTCCTATTGTAGTGGTAATACTCCAGTGAGTAAAGAGCTCAGATACAAACAGCCTTTCTATGTAAAGCACAGTTTGGCTGTGTTGTAATGCAGAAGCTGCTGTGCTATCTGGCTGTGTTCTTATCAAGGTGAGAGATGAGAGGGCTGGAGACAAAACATTTTATTACTGTACAATCAGGAGAACATTCAACATTCCCTGGCTCCCTCTGCAGTTGCACACTCAAGGCTGTTCCACAGTTAGACATTTGCAGACATGGGAGTATAACTTAAGCACTTATTCATGACTATTATTTAATAAAACGTGTCTATCTTCATAACGTATTAACCTTTCAGCATTCTCAACATTGATTTCGGTCAATCTCCCTTTGTCTGGCAGAAACTAAGCCTGAGGTGTAAGGGAGAGAGGGTGAAAACCGTGAGTGCTGAGGGTATGTGGTAAATGAGGTGGAGACAGAGAGGGGAGAGAGGGACGGTGAGTAGGGTTGAAGGTGAGATAACAAGGTGTAGAGCTGGATGAACACAGCAGGCCAAGCAGCATCATAGGAGCAGGAAGGCTGACGTTTCGGGCCTAGACCCTTCATCAGAAAAAGGTTGAAGGTGAGAAGGGTTAGAGACAGTGAGGAGAGACGGGGAGCAGGGAGATGTGATGGAGATGGCGAGGGGAGGGGAAGGGGACAAGGGTGGAGACAGTGATGGTGAGAAGGGTTGAAGGTGATAGGGGAGAGGTTGAATGGGTTAAGAAGAATTTGGGGAGTAAAGAGGTTTAGGGAGATAGGGAGTTGGAGGAAGGGACAAAAGAGGTGAGGGGAAAATGGGGCATAATCGCAGCATAAGGAATCACAAACTTAAGATGGAGATGAGGAGGAATTTCTTCTCTCAGAGGTTAGCGAATCTGTGGAATTCTTTATTGTACAGCGCTGTCCAACTGGGTCATTAAGTATATTCAAGGCTGAGATAGAGAGATTTTTAATCAGTAAGTGATTCAAAGTTTATGGGGAAAAGGCAGTGGAGTGGAGTTGAGGATTATCAGATCAGCCACCACCTCATTGAATAGTGGGGCAGCTAAATAGTCTACTTCTGCTCCTATGTCTTTGGTCTTAAAATGTGTTGGCAAATGGCTATTTTGTGCTCTGCAAGATCCCACAAGCAGCAGTGCATTGAAATTGCCCATAATTGGTTTTTAGTAATGGTCGACTTCAGTTCTTACATTTTATGGTGTGATGGGCTGGGGCAAGGAAGAGAACGGGAGCAAGTTATGATTTGTGAGGGAGAATAACGCAACATGGTTGGAAGGGAGAAAGCACAAGGTTTAACAAGGAAACACTGTTCGTGGTTTTACACATGACTAATCTTCAGGAATGAGTGCAACCCATTGGACAATATGTTTAAGAAGGGAATTCCTCTTGCAGCATCACTGTCAGATCAATGATACAAACTCAGTATCGCTGACTACAACACTGAATATGTGAGCATGTCTTACTAACACTGCAATGGCTAACATTTCTGTGTTCGTGACTGGATGCTCATGGGTGTGAATGTACCAGATTAATGTAGCCTTGGCCACAGAGTAGCAATCCGGGGGGGAGTTTCTAACCCCCACTCACCTTGTATCCTGAAGATTTGACATGAACCCCTCGCTTGGTCAGCGTTGACTTCATGCGAATGAAGAACGTGCGCTCCAACACATTATCATCGCCCAGAAGACTGGGGCTCCCGGAGTCTGTGAAAATCACAATGAGACTGTGATAGTGGGTGACCTAGTAATGACCCCAATAAGTGATTCCCACTCCACCCACACTAACTGCAGACTCAAGGCCAACAATGTACAAATTAGCAACACATGACTAACGTAGTCTACTTATTTAAGCATTTCACAGTAATAAATGTAAAGACTAGCAAAAAGTTCAACAGCAGTGTCCAAGAGCGAACTGTCTCTAGATATTTGTGCACAATCATTTGTTATTTTCTATCGTAACATTCATGTCTAATAACAATCATTAACCAGCCAATGTCCATCCGACATATTAGACTCCACTGAAGTCCTGCTCCTCTGATGCTGCTTGGCCTGCTGTGTTCATCCAGCTCTACACCTTGTTATCTCAGATTCTCCAGCATCTGCAGTTCCTACTATCTCTTTAATATCATTTGATTTATCCATTGTTGAAGCCCCCTGTTCACCGTGAATTCAATATAACCTACCATATCCATTACCTGTTCAAAACTACATTCTATCCACTCAGCTGTTTCCCATTGCTATGTCTTCTCCACTTGTTATCTATCTAAGGTGATTTTATTTATCTAATATTACTCGCCAGTGACCAAATTTTATTGCAGTAACTCACCAAGGCTGCTATACAAGTGAAATACCAGGAGAGTTTTGTAACTTGAAATTGAAGGGCTGCATGTTTTGAAGCTGTGCAATATAATGTTGCTCTTTGAAGCACTGGTGCGGTGGGGGAAGTGGGGGGCAGAATTCCAGGCTGAATTGCACCAAGAGTCAAGGAAATTCTGCCTGACAACAGTCCTTTGATCGGTTGATCCGCACAGTGTTAGAAGCTGTAAGTACCAGGGCAGTAGAAAAAGAAACATCCAGAGCCTGTAAACAGAAAACAT